GCAATGTCTTTCGAAATGAATACATTGCGGATTATTTTGAGGAAGCTGTTTTGTTTATGGAAAATTATGCTTGACAGAGGAGAATTTTCAGTATTGGACATGCGGACCTTTAAACCTCACATTTTAGAGAATTCAGAGTGAGTATGGGTTTTCGCTACTTTTTAGTAATTTTCCAGCAATATCACCAGACATGGGCTTCACACTCGTGTGGGGAATCGAACCCGGGTCTGCTGCGTGACAAGCGAACGTTTTAACCGCTTGGCTACCCCACCGCGTCGAATTAAAACAGAAACATGACGTGCCCAATACCCTTCGAAGAGCTTGCTATCGAGGGAGTGAATGGGCAACATCGCTTGAGTCGGTGTGTGCGTGTGCGTGCGCGTGCGTATGCACACGCGCGTCTGTACGTGCGTGCGGTCCGGACTTATGCCGTCTTTATGGTGCAAGATACCGATTTCTTGATATACCATGCCGCTACACACAGAGACACAGACATCTCGCACATTTATGTTAAGCCTAAAGAACATAAATGACCGAAAGCGCTCGTAAAATCTCTTCAGCAGAAGTCTCCCCGTGTTGTCACAATCAGTGAGTGAGTGATCTCGGTTAAGCCACTTTGTACAGTGCTCCCGTCACGTCACAGTGTGTCCGCTTTATGTGAGAGATCAGACAGAAAGTAATGTTTGTTATACTTTGTTCCGTAATACGTCAGTCTACATGTATTTTCTTGTGCCAACTCACAGAACAGTCCAATCCAGTCCGTTTGTTGTTTAACAATGCACTTCCCAGCTAACATCACGTAACCCAGTAAAGTCAGAAAATCATTCCCATTTAAGGCATTCGGGACCTGGGCCTGTAGTATTTTGCACATTGGCGTTGAACTGGACCAGTACAGGCAAAGAAGTATGGCCCAGTAGCCAGCCGTAACGGTAGCAGATTGGCCTTTTACAGTTTGGCCGGCACTGGCCCGCGTACGTTTAATACAGTTTCTACTATTTAAAACAAGCTGATACCAACACAAACTCAGAAAAAGAGAAAACCCAAGTTTGTCCATATGAGTTTAATTCATGAAACGAGATGAAAATATGATGCATCATTTTTTCATTGATTCAGAGTTCACTTTTCTCGGCCTCGAGCATAACATACATAACCACTGGGGAGACTGACAGATTCAGTAATTGCAGTTGTGCCATCATGCACCTTGTCGTTTAGTTCAGTATTTGTTTCAAGAATTCCAAACGTCTGTGAATGACCAACTCTGTTTTGTTCTGGATGAGCTTGTTCAACAGAAGTTCCAAAATTCAGTTCACCTGATACAGTCTCTTTTTGAACTTCAAGTATTTTCAAATTTTCATTTACTTTTGATTCAGTCTTTCACGTTTTGTCCAGTATGAAATGTTTATCAAACAATACAATAATATTGGCCATATATTGAGTTTGTTCTTGAATGAGGCATGTCAACAGGTTTTCCGCAACAACATGACATACATACTGTTTCTAAATGCTCTGTCCCAGCGAAATTCATACTGCATGTCATTGTTCAAAATTTAGCTCAACACTTACCCTTAGTTGAAAAAGTAGTCTCTGTACTGTTATTTTTTAGTGTCACAGTAAGTCAACATACATTGAGATATGTGGAAAATGTCACATTCCACCTTTCGGCCACCTCTCTTGAGCAGAGGATATGGCCCTGAGATGATATCCCACAATTCACCAGACAGGAAGTGAACTGCCTGTACTGGGCCAGTACTGGGCTGGAACAGTATTGCGGTGCAGTATTTACTGTAACCACCTATATATGGCCCAGTACAGTTTTGCCTTTAACGGGCCACTAACGGAAAACAAGCATTGGTCCAGTACTGGCTCTATACTGTCGTACATTGTGCCAGTACCAACGGTACAGGCCACAACGATGGTGAGGTGAGGTTAAAGTGGGTTTAACCAGAGACCATATAATATGTTATATGGTCTCTGGTTTAACGTGGTGCTTGGGAATATTTCGCTCATATGACGACGTGCATGCGTGTGTATGTGCATGTGCGGCTGCTTGTACTAGCCCAGACTGAAGCTGGTTTTCTAGTGCTAGCCCACTGAGATACCATGCTGCAGTGAAGCATGAATACCCCACTCAGACACAGTATACTGACTTCGAGCCGACCAGTCCTTGTTGTACCCAGTAATACCGAGCGCCAGGCTGGGACCAACAAGTACCATATTTTAACGTCTTTTGGTATGACGCAGTCGGGGATCGAACCCACGACCTTCCGCTCTCCGGGCGGACACTCTAACCACTACACCACGGAGGCGGTCATACAACGATGGTAGTACCGGCCCAGGTTTGTGATGTTAGCTGGGTTAGTCTGTCAAACATACTCTGAAACAATCATATCCAAGAAAGCTCACGAAACTCCAGAATATGTGGCAAATCTGAAAATGAAGAAAGTCCCAGGGCTCCTTTTCATTACATTGTGAACCGTGTATTTTTCTGTAAAGTATGTTCATTTCAGAAACTAGATGTTAGTCTACGCTGCAATCTGCAACATTCCAGGCCACCATCTGCAAATTGGTGGTAAACGGGCCAGACCCAAGACCGCCCAAGATCTGGAAGACTGAGAGTCACGACACCGTCAGAAGACCGTTACATCCGACAGATCCACCTCCGAAACAGATTCGTGTCGGCGACTGCACAAGGACACGCCATCAGCAGACGAACAGTCCTTTGGCGACTTGGTATGGCTGGTATACGCAGTCTGCAATGGGCACGAACTGTACGTCGGTGCCAGTGACATGACTGGGAGAGAGTCAGCTTGGCCAGCGTGTTCACCAGACATGAACACCTTTGAACATCTCCGTGATCATCTTGATCTTCAGCTGAGACAGCATGTACCAACCACCTCCAGCAAACCGACGGGAACTTGAACAGACTCTCTTGGACTTATGGAACAGGATTCCTGCTGACGTCATCCATGGACTGATTGTGTCAATGTGTGTTGGCGTGTATGGATGCCGAGGGTGGTCACACTCGCTATTGATGACGTGTCCCTTGACTCCTGTCTCATTATATGACCCTTTATTTTCTTTTGCCCGGTAGTTTATATGGCTTCTGTAAATAATTGAGTCTGCACCAGACAATCATGAGCATCGATATGCAGCTGGGATACCCTAACATATGTCAACCAAGTCATCGAGCCTCACCACCCGATGCCGTCAGTCATCTCTTATGACAAGTGTGGGTTGCTGACAACCCATTCTAACACGGATCTTCACAGGCCATCCAGTCCAGACCAGACAAGTTCTGACAACCAATGACTGAAACCATCCACATCTGTATCATCAAATTTTAGCAGAAAACCCAACTGTTTAATATTGAGGATGTGAGCTGAGTTGAGGTGAAATGGGGTTTAACGTCGTACTTAAGAATATTTTGCTCATATGACGACATACATGCGTGTGTATGTGCGGCTGCTTGTACTAGCCCAGACTTAAGCTGGTTTTATAGTGCTAGCTCACTGAGATACCATGCCGCAGTTAAGCAAGAATACCACACCCAGACACATTATACTGACTCCGAGCCGATCAGTCCTTGTTGCACACGAGGGCCAGGCAGGGAACAACAAGTACCATATTTTAACGTCTTTTGGTATGACGCAGCTGGAGATCGAACCCACGACCTTTTGCTCTCCGGGTGGACGCTCAAACCACTACACCACGGAAGCGGTTTTATATTCAGGAGTTGATGGAGGATCTGATCTTATTGTACACAGAATCACATGTATAAAAAAGGTGGAAAATAAAGCTTCAGGTGAAGTGTAATTAACCCCTTTGACACTAAAGGGTCAGGACTTCACAAATCAACTATTTTCAGCACAAAACAAATTTTTAAACTTTATTTCATTTACATACAAAAGAGTTAAAGTTAGAATATCATGACCATATACAACCACAAGAATTCAAAAGGTATATTTTCAATTCATTTAATGCCCATACTAATTCTATATATACTCAAAAATAATATAGCTCATCCCTGGGTGATGAAAAACCGCCAAAAACATGTATCATTAAGCATGCACTGTATTACCATGTCTACATATGTAGTATACTGAATAAGTCGACTAGAATAAATTCAAAATCTGTTTAATAAAGGCAGCTAGCATCCAGTCCTTGCAAAGAAAGTTTTCATAATGCATATTCTCCACTCCTATACTGTCAATCATTACGGCGTATTCTGGATCCCTTGGGACAAACTTTATCCCTATGTACTAGAATCTTGGGACACACTAACTTATGACTACTGGGACTTTGATGCATTCTTGGATCTGATATTACTCGCATGAAATTAACAATTTGTTTCAGTTACGTCCCTGTATTTGTGGGAAATAGGTTTCAGCTGTGGGCATTCGGAAAAGGGTCATCTGAGGATGCCACATCAAGTTTAATAGAAAGCACTATTAATAGATAAACATTCATATAAATACACACTTCATGCTCGAAGAAGAGGACATGACTGTCAAATTGAGTTTTACATCATTGTGAATTGTTAATTACATTGTGATTTGTTAAATACCACTGTACAAAGGTCAATGGGTTTGTTGTTCAAATCCTGACTTTGATCTATATACTGATTACTTACAACATTACCAAAGGAAATGTCAAGGTGAGAGACAGATAACTCACAATTAATTTTGTGAGTTGGGTATTTTTCATATCATCCTTGGTCATATATCTAGGAATGAGGAAATATACTATTCACACTTTGCTAAGGATCAAACCATTGATTCAACAGAAAACTATGATTTGGGGTCTAATTTGGTTTAAATATCTAAGCTTATTGTAAGCATGGATCCTAGGTTTCAGTATGTCACTGCATCTTGTGGATCCCATACCTGCTATTGACAGGTGTTGTGATTCTTTCCATGATTTCCAAAATGGTTGATTGGTGCCATAAAACCTTTTTTATTGTTACTCATGTATCAAGCACATAAGGTTAGATTAAAGTGGCTGTTTTCCTAAAGAGGGGTTATCATATCATTATTTATCTAGTTTTAAATGGATACAATTTTAAATTATAAATCTATGTTTAAGTAAAGTTGGGAATTTTTGTGATCCTTAACAAAGTGTTAGTAGTATACTTCCGCATCCTGACATTGGCTAAGGTAATCAACCATTGTCGAAAAATACCACACATAAACCATTTGTGATGTCACAAAAATACAAATGACTTCATCCTCGGATATTTCCGGTGTTCCAATGACATCACATAGTTGGCTGTGGTCATCTCTGCAAACACTAACCATAATGGCACAATGGCTACAATCAGCAGAAGCAGAAATAATGACTCGTTTAACTCGAAATACTGAACACAGTTTCAACAATATTCATGTCCCTAAGGATGATATTTCCAATTACACCTGATAACACCTGATAACACCTGATAACACCTGATAAGCTTGGGATCCCCGATAATACCCTCGTCTAACAGTACTTTTATTGTCAGTCTGAATTAACTAACATAATAATCAATAACCACGGTAATAGCCACAACATACTCTCTTTAACAGAACAAGGTTGTGTATATATTAATTAAAAACTTGAGGTAGAAGATATTGAGACTTTTGCTTTCACAATATGACCCTCAGATTTAACCAAAAATATGACAATGACCAATCACATATACAAACTGTAAAAACTAAAATTATAAATATTTATGAAAAATTAAGAAAAAGATACATTTCAACCCTCTGCTTTGAACAATGAGTAACAATTCTGGCTAAATAAAGTTTAAAAAGTGTTAACTTAACTGGTGTGGATTTGGGTTTCATCATAACAGGGAAAAATGATTTAAAGTATCATGACGCAGGTGTCACATAGAGTTAACAATCACGAGGTAGATGACTTTGAGGACAGCATCACTGTTGTACAGAAGCTTATATCACTGTGAAACTTGTATAAAAAGGAGGAGCTGAGGTAATCAGAAGTCAGAACCTAGAAATATAATTTTCAAACAATAAGTATATAATCCAACAGACAGCTTTGCCAATACCTTATTCACCATGACAACAGACATAAGACTTGTTTACAAATTGATAGATGGACATATCGTAATTTGTTAGGAAAAATGAGCAGGTGTATAATATAAGGTTGTCTATCCGGACACAGCTTCCTGGTTTATGAGCACCGAACAGCAGGTGAGGCAGCCGTCCACCTTGTAGAACTCCGAGAATGGGACGTCAATAATTCTCCCCTTCACATGCTTTTTAAGTATCTGCAAACAGGAAATTAACAGTTTCAAGGTAGTGAGTGAGTGAGTGAGTGAAACAATGCATGAAAAAATGTTTTCCAGCTTTTGCAAACACTTTCCACATGGGGATATGACACACCATGACCCATGTAATATGCCATTGTGTCCAACAAATACACATGTGTGATCTCAGATTGTGTCTATTGAATACATGTGGGTGCGTCTTTATTTACTTACGACATAAATATGGCCAAACAATGCATGCGTGTCCTCTCAGTGACTTCCACCATAGTTGTTGTGTCCATCTAATACACAGTTGTGCCATCCCAACTGACTGACATTGCAGTATTGGCCACACAATACACATGTATTTTGTATGCATTACTTACATCATAGTTGTGGTGCCCAATCTCCTCCCCGGGCTTCACAAACACGTTGTCGTTGACCAGCAGGACATTGGCCGCAGAGTTGCTGTCCAGCTGGACATAGTTGTACTTGAACTTGGCCTGTGACTTCATCGACTGTTGACAGGGTCAAGGTCAGTGAGTGAGTTAGTGAGTATATATGAGAGTGGATGGATGAATGATTGAGTATATGGTGTGTGTAACAAGTGAGTGAGAGAGATCATATCCGTATAGATTGAGTATTTGGGTGAGCGAGTGACACACCAGCTGACATGTTTGTCACTTATTCTTGCTAAAACACAGTGGAGAATTAGACAAGAAGTTCAATGAATTCATGAATATTTTATGTCTGCTTCAGTTACTGTACAATGTGAATGACCCCGACACACACACCCTAAAGTTCATGTACAAAGTAAGTGGCCTCCTCTGCATGTCATGTACAAACTTGCTCACACCCCTACCTCTCCAGAACAAATGGCTGCCCCCCAATTAAAATCATTATCACGTCCCTTTGGCATAAATTATGAATGGTCCCTTACATTCTGGACATAACAGTGAATGAGATGGGTTTGACGACACATTTGAACAATATTCGGTTATAACATAGCGAGTTACCCTGATATAGGAGGAGAGCACAGGTATTGAAGTTAACATCTTTGGTGAAATTAATGAACACATTTATGTTGCTGACAAACCAAGAAACATACTCAGAGGGAACCAGGATTTGAACCAATGATCACAGGTTCCTGGTGTGTACAAGGGAGACAACCCTGCACAGTGAAAAACCACATGACCTGGTGCATACCTTGAGTGTTTCTGCAGCTTCCTGATCCCCTCCAACAGCTATCATGTCATCACCACACATGGTAGCCAAACTCTTCAAATGCAGCGAGCTTCTTATAGGAAATGGCGTCACAGAGAATTCTGGGAATGTTTTTGCCAAGCACTGTACACCTTTCTGATTGGTTCTGGATGACTGACCAACAAATATCTCCCGACCTGGAACAACCATTATATGAAGAAACATATACATGAATATCATAAATAAGCCATATGGTCACTATTGGGCAATCAGTCCCAAACTTATAAAAAAGCACATTTGAAAATCTTAAAAATACCATTCTTTATATAAACCAGGCAATTTGTTTCCTTCTGTGATCCTTTTGAAGAAGGTTTGGTCAGATCATTTTAATGGGACAAAGAAATCTGAAAACAAAAATGTTTTGACTGAAACACTGCTTAATTCGAACATCTTTTCCTCAATGAAATATTCTGTTTGAGCTGATTTATTTTTCAGTCAACAAAATGCTCCAGACTTGATAAAGATTGATATATAAATGGGGAAACTTACAGCATTACAAAGCTGTGAAAGTTCAGCTAGCTGCTAGCATAAATCATAAAATAAAACACTTTTGGGAATAAACCACATTTGGTATATGACAAAAGGATTAAATATGATGAAGACATGTTAGATTTTAAAATTTGAAAACGTTGTTGTTTTGCTTGAAACAAAGTCGTTATTGTACCAGCAGTGAAAATGTTCAAGTTGTTGAGATTGAGCATGTTGAGATTCAGTATGACTAAAATCGTATGTTATTTCACTACTGTTTAACAAAGATCAGAGGACGTCTCATGACAATGATTATAGGTCACATCTGAACGACCTTTCAACAAATGAAGGTGTAAAGAGAAGACAATCATAGAGCACCTGTCTGAAGCTATACTGCACAAGTTTCAACTTTCAACATGTTTATTACTGATGACATTTTGCAAGGTAATTTGGCAAAGTTCTCAAATTTTGAAAACCGAACAAAAGAACATTTTGGAATGCATAACAGACAGCAGAGATTCTATGGGAGCACTTTCTGTCGGGTATGCAGATTTACTTCAGTTTCTATGTTTGTACCACTGAAGGAAAAGGTAGTATTGAAGGAATAAGCCCCTGTTTCTTGTTTACAATACCCTGTTTTAACCTTTTGATGGATAAGTAGGATAAGAAAGCACTTTCCAACTGTCATTTTTCCTCTCTGGTAAGCAACAATCTCATTGGTTGAACGAAAGGTGATTTTGATCATTTGATGAGTCATGAAATGTCATCAGATCTTTGTTCTGCTCTAGCAGGGACTAAGGTCTGACTTAATGAGATTGGTTATGAATGAGAACATGTAATCCCACACATAACATATACAATATATTGTATTACATATGACACTTTCTAAATGGCTTTGTGTATACATGGTTACAAGTGGATGCTAATAAAATACACTTCAGACTCCTACGGATGCAAATGCATTGTGTCCATTATGCAGATAACATAAGACATGTCAGAGCATGCACAGAGCTATATATCATCCACTAAAACTACTTCCAGGTCAAGTCAGGGTGCCACATGTCAACGACCTGTGGAGGCAAGGTACCGTATTTACCCTATTTACCATACTGTAATTAGATTTTAGAAAATTAACAAAATATAAAACCACACACAAATCACATCTGTGTTTAGAGATCGAGCAGAAATAAAAAAAATGTAAGGTCAAGCTAATGTGAAACTGAGATATTTAAAAAAAGGCATTGCAAACCAATTATACTTCTGTTTTCCACTAAATCTGTTACATACACATGAAATATAGATGTCATGTGAATTTGTGGTCCTTGAAGGGTCCCTCATAAAATTACTTACAGATAAGTGTAGTTGTGGTCATATGGTGCTTACTGGAGGAGACACTTAATATGGTGGGTAGGGTAGACCATAGTGGGGTTATCCTTGGACAATCACCTTCATGCTTGAAACCCTACAAAACTAGGGCCACAATCCCATTGAGTAATAAATAGATAGGTCATTGTCCATCCCTTATTCCGCCTTAACCTACTTAACGGCTGTCTTGTAACTGGTCCAACATTATACTTGGATGTGACATTACTTTTTAGCTTGGTACTGAGTTGATTAGATTGTACGAAGAATGCAGATGGTTTTCATTTAAGACAACAGCATAAGAAGATGCTTTGAAATAATATGAGTACTTTTGATGCTGGCAAGATGCAGTGGTTGCGATATGTACCTGTAAACAAGACATCCCCTCCATCCACGAAGGCTTCAGGATCCTCCATCTCGTAGATCTGAGGGGCCTTCTGCAGCGACTTCAGCGCCTCCCTCATCACCGTCATCTACACACCAACATCAACACCAGATCAACCTTTCATTCCTGTCTCCATGTACTACACTATGGAAGCAGCATGGTCAACACATTGATTCAATTGTGCGAGTGAGTGAGTTTAGCTTTACGCCACACTCAGCAATATTCCAGCTATATGGTGGCGGTCTATACATAATTGTGTCTGGAGCAGACAATCCAGTGATCAACAGCATGACCACCTGATCCTGTTGGTCACCTCTTACTATAAGCAAGAGTTAATGAATACCAATTCTAAACAGGATCTTCACGGCTCTCATTGATTACAACACCGACAAACACAAACAAAAAATACAAGAAGAATCGTACTATGTCTACAAGATATTTCTGAACAAGCCTTCTGTATACACAAATGTAATCCAGGGGCCTTTTGCAGTAGGTACATTTGTTTTTGGTTTTTTAATTTATTTTATTTTTCATGAAACCAAAGTCTTCCATCCTAAATGGCGGTCATTACATAATGACATATACAAATACATGAACATAATCAGATATCAGTAGGTACATTTGTTGCTTAATGACAATATTCCAGCTATATGGCAGCAGTCTGTAAATAATCCAATCCAGAAAGACAATCCAGTGATCTACATCATGAGCACCTGTTCACGTTGCACAACTGTACCTCATGGGTTTATCTGAATACACAACTGTACCCTAGGGTAAACACAAATGTACTGATTTTTGTTTTATGTCTGGTAGACTTGGCCTTTAACTCAGCTTTGTGTTAAATATGTAATACCATTTGACTGCAGTCTGAACCAGACAATCCACTGACTTGCATCATGAACATAAACCATGTCAGCGTGCCTGACCACCCAATCTTGGTAGTCGCCTCTTACAACAAACATGGGTTGCTGAAGATCTATCCTAAGCTGGATCTTCATCGGTCACCCAACAGCATTGACAATGCCAACCAACAACAGGAATGGCTGGACTTTATAATTCATGTAGTATAACAGACACCAATACTAAGTTCCCTAAGCTTTTGGGAATTGACCAGTGTAGCCACAATCAATACGCTTTGAACAACATGATCAGTAGTAGAGCAGCTGAACAAATAAATGCATTGAATGATAAAAGCAGAAAACTTTGCACATTTGTTCATTGATGAACACTGGTAGTGAACATTTTCAGATATGGAGGCACACAAAATAATTTCATTTTGGGCATGCGCAGGAGGTTTTGATAGTTTGTTGCTAACACCGCACGCAGCAATATTCCTGCTAAATGGAAGCGGTCTGTAAATAATTCACTCTGGACCAGAGAATCAAGTGATGAACAGCATGGACATCAATCTACCCAGTTGGGATACAATAACATATATCAACCAAGTCAGCGAGCCTGACCACCCAATCCTGTTGTTTAATCTGAATCTTCATGGGTATAAAATTTGACATCAGCCTCCCACACACCCTTGAGTTACACAAACGGGACTTCGCACATGGCAAACCTTCAGTAGAAAGTTACACTCAACATACGGAATATGCTGTATTCGCTGTAAGTGGATCTGTAATTGCTGTGTATCGGTGTGGAGTGCTTGAAAATGTCTGCGAGGATGACCACCCAATTCCCATCAGTCGCCTCTTACAACACGTCTTCACGGGCGTTTGCAGAGGGTAAATACTACTTTGCCTTTGTTCACTACTGATTTAGGTAGTGCATTACAGTTCATGCATTACAGGGAAAATATCACCAAAATATAAATTACCCACATATTCTGGTTAAATGTCTTGAAAATAAAGGAGAGTCAGTTTTATGAACATTAGCCCTCCCACCAACAGAGTCCAGTGTATGTAACTGAGGACTGTTTGCTCTTGCATGTGTTGTTACGCCCCTTTCTGCAGCCACAAGAAACCACCGCCTGACAAGTTGATGCGTGGTGAAGTGTCAACCATCAGGGAACATATTTACTAGGGCTGTAACCATGCATCTAGACTAAGGCTTAGTCTCTGAATATATATAATTTTCTTCAAGACCAGAAACAATGCACAAGGCCTCCACTATGGCTTCATGTCACCCAATGTGCTTGTTAATTAAGAGTTGACAGATGAAAATGTGAGGCAAGATTCCAGACCACTGGTGAGGATGTTGGTCCAGTCAGCCATGGCAGTTAGATATGTTTACTTTGTAATCCGACCCCCAGAGTGAGTGAGTTTTCCTGAGGAAATCTAGACTTGCTTTATTTAGGGCTTTAGCACTGCAGAGAGGGCTTGGCAGCAGGGAAATTAATGTGGTTCAGGGACTGTGAGACAGACTACCATGCATCCAACTATCAATGGATTGCAATTGTTGAATCTCCAATAGCAATAAATTGATGGTAGAAACGAAAAACTATCGATGCATGGATAGTATGTGTGACTATCGATAGTTTGACTATTGACTTATGTTGATAAATGTGCAGCGTAAAATACAGGATGTCTGGGTGCAGACTTGCAGCTTCATTGAGTTTATGTTTTAACTGTTTACTTGATCTGGGTTCCAATTTTCTTATCACTCATTAAAAGAGACTGAAACTACTTCAACTTGTTTTGGTTTCATATGAACTACACATTCATTTGGGAAATGACTTAAAATGAGACAATTCAAGGTCGCAATAGACTATCGCTATATCAACAGTTGTTTCCCCTCTGTAGACACCCCTAATATTTACCACTTTCCTTCTGTATCGAAGTTAAGGCTGTGGAAGAAGTGACTAACCTCATTTATTCCTGCTTGGTAAGCTGTTTTTTCAACATGCTGTACAAGACAGGTAAGCACTACAACATCTGCAGCTACTGTTCGTAACATAATCTTCTCATGGCCATGTTTTGCCACATAAGTATCGTGAAGCATGATGTGAACAATTACAGCTCTGTCACTAATTAAAGTGGTAACAGTTGGCTATTCTGATATTGCTGAAACATATATGCTTCTATGTCCCAACAGGCCACGTTTTGTACCAGTGTGAAAGCATCCATTTTCTGATAGGGAAGGTGTCTGCTTTTCATGTTGATCAGAATCATCTAAATTTCCCCACGTGACTCACGCCTAATGTACACTCGATAAGAATTCTAGATCACTATTAATTGTTTCCAGCTCTTCTTTACCCCTTTTTACAGCTTTTCTTTCTAATCAGTCAACATTAAAATAATACGTAAAAGACATGTACTGTTACTCAGCTTTGTTCTGTCCACAAAGTTCCCTCTGTAAAGGTTTCAAACTGCTGTTTTCCTACATGATGCGATGGTCCCAGGCAAAGTGGAGTAAAAAATTCAAAATTGCAGTATGTGCGCTCCAATTTCATGAAATGATTTAAAAGACGGCAGTACGAAAAAGTACATATTTTGACAAGGCAAGACGTAGATGTTTAGAACATACATGATGGCAAGCTACTGGCTTGCATGATACAGGGATGTCCGGTCGCAACACTGGTGCTAACGTGTACATAAACCATATGGCTATTACTGTACTTGGAGGAATTTTGTGGCCTACGAGGAAGCACGTGGCCACTGAAGGAAAGTGTCGCCCAAGTCCTGGCAGACTGAGGAATATCAATGACCATGATGATCTGGTGTAAATTTGTCTGGCAAGACATCAAGATGATAAACCATGCAGTCGAACCACAATGGGGAGTGCTGGTCTCTCAGACTCTCCATCATTACCATCAGCAAGAGGCTACGATGTCTGAGGGTACGTCATCCGATTAAATATTCTCACGCCAAATATCATGTGCATTTTCAGTCAGTATTGATCAGATGAAACCATAACTTATGTATCTTTTGTCATGGAACTCCATATTCGAAAAGTTGTCTGCTACCTGCCATTTTGGATGGAGGCAAGGGAGCAAAGGGAGGTAATTCAATTATCAGGCCAATCCGAAGATGCATCCAGGGAACTTAGTGAAGATTTATTGGAACGTATACCCCAGAGATTATCGAGGATGGGATGCAGGGAGCATTTATATGTTTTACATCAATGTAAATGAATTATTTCTTCTCTTTCCCTGTAACTGTAATCATTAATTGTGACATTTCTGGTTTGTATTGACTGGCTATGCTACCTATGTAAGAGGAAACATTGAAAATAATGCAGCACTTTTTGTCTACTGCACATGTCTAAAAAATTGTGTGCCTCCATATCTGAAATTATTTCAGACATGTTCCAGAAAATGATGACCAACTTCTGTTTGTATCATTAAATGTACTGTATTTCCTCTAATAAGCAACAGGCCACTAATAAGGGCTCGTGGTAAAGCAGGGGTTAAGAAATGAGTGCAGGGCCTTAAATAAGCACCAGGTCTGGAAGTCTGTTGCAAAAATAAGCCGGGTGGTTATTAGAGGAAATACAGTACAATTGTAATGGAAACTTGACCTTAGCCACTGCACTACAGGGAGCTCTCAGACATACAAATATTAGCAGAGCATGGATAATGCTATCAATTAATGCTGCTGATAGTTTTCACTGCCCATCCAAATGTGGAATGGATGTAGGGGATACAGTGAATATGCTGCCACCTTGTTTCAGATACTTTGGTACCAGGTGCGCACAGTTTTTGATGATAGTAGATAATGCCTGTTTTTATGGATACTGTTGTTGATACATATCTAAATTTAAATGATCTGGATATTAATTTACCAGCAAATTATGAAACTACTTTAACAACATAATAATATGACAGGGACACATCACATACTTGAGATCTGCGCTCATTACCGTCTGATCACAGATTATCGCATGTCACGTTTTTCGCATGGCAGTGTTTACTTATCGAGTCACAGACATTGTACATTCTCAAATGATGGCTCGTGAGACAAGATGAAGTTGTCTATTATATGTTAAATGTTAATATTATTATGTTTTACAGTTGTTTGTGTGACTAGCAAGATAGCAACGAATATTTCTTAAGCATGTTTATAAGTGTCCGAAATACGATGATAATCAAACACAGTGATGACAAGGCTACATAGGGTTATAGCTAAAACGGAACCACGCCAAAACGGTACTAACCAAAACAGAATCAAATTGGCGAAAACGGAACCTCGACTTGGCGAAAACGGAACCATAAAAATTTTATCAATTAAATATTAGCACATTTTATAAACACTATCCCAGATAGCATTGATATGTTGGCCCATAGTTGGCCCATAATCACCGGTTTGGTTGGCCCATAGTTGTCAAACTGACGATGGGCCCACTTGGATATGCTCATCAGGTCCACGTTGGCCCATCATGTTGGCTCATTGTTGGGCCAACAAATGAAAATTCACACTAAACCATGGCCCATAGTTGGCCCAACGTAGTGATTTTGTTGGCCTTATGTTGGCACCACCGTGTTTCAACATTTAGCTCTTTCTTGACCTTTGTACTAAACCATGGCCCATACTTGGCCCAACGATGTGATTTAGTTGGCCTTATGTTGGCACAACTGTATTTCAACATTTAGCTCTTTCCTGACCTCTGCAATCAGAAACATATATAAACAACACAACAAGTTAATCAAGTGAACTATTTAATTCTTTTTTTATTATTGTTATTTGAACAATATTGTATTTCTTGAAAATATTCTTGTCTTAGGTCTTTCGGCTGTCGCCGCTGACGGGTTTTTTCGAACTGCTCCAAAAGCAGCACAAAAAAATTCATGAAACTGTCAGATATCATAATTTTAGACATGAGATCTATCGTAAAAGGAAATAGTATTTGACGTTATGTTTCATTTGAAAATGAAACATACAACTTGATGATTGATAACTTCTTGTTTATTGCTCAGAGTGACGTTCTGATGTAGATTCTTACACCGTTATCAAGCTAAAAGTGACTACAACCAAATGATGAGAAGTATATATGCGTAGTATGTTTTGACAATCAGCAGATTAACATTAACAGTTTGGGTTTGTTGTGGAGGGTGGTGGAGATGGTCCTCTTGACTATAGTCCATTTGATTTCATTTGAGACCGATGAATTGCTCACTAACACAAAATCTAATAATTGCAACAAAACCAAATTTTGCACAGTCACATAAAAACACAGACCAACTCTGATGATTTGTCTCATAATTTTGGACACCCGGTCATTATTTTGTTGTCACTTTTCGCTATTTCTTATGAGGGAGGACCACTTGCTGGTAGAACAGCCAGGTAATCAACAAGCTTGTGTTGTGAAATTTCAACTGCACATGTGCAACGTGCTCACCTGGGACCCGTTTCACAAAACTCTTGTAGTGCTACGACTATCATAAGTCAACAGTTACAGTATAATAGGTACGAATGCTACGAGAAAAGTTATGAGATCTTAGGCTTATGAGAGCTTTGTGAAACGGGGCCCTGGCAGTCAGAGTTGGTCTGTCGTTTTCATGTGACTGCAAAATTTGGTTTTGTTGCAATTATTAGATTTTGTGTTAGTGAGCAATTCATTGGTCTCAAATGAAATCAAACGGACTTTGAGTTGGTGGGTTACTGGTTGAGGCTCGTGAAGACATGTTGTAGGTGATTCAGCTCATGTTCTAGGTCATGGCTGCTGGAGCAAATGTTCTTAGCGTGCTTGATCAGGGTTGAGATGACGCCAGACTTAGTTTTAGGAGAGTGGTTGGACAAATTCGAAATCTTATCCACCAAGAATCAGGACTTCACAAAAAGAAAACTTTGGAGGCCATCGAAATCAGCCCCCCTCCCCTGTTTATTGGTTGTATCACTAGATCCATTTGTTGTTCTAAGTCCCCAACTGGTCGCTCCCAATTATGTATATTGGACAAAACATACAATGTACATGTACAGAACTGTAACCTAAATTCGTGGATAACCTTGATTCGTGGATCGCGGAAATTATCATGCTATCTTGTAAATTAAGTCTCGACTGACGTCACGAAGCGGTACTTTTGATGTACATACAATGCTACGCCTCGCTGACGAAAAAGTTCCGAATCTCTGCATTACACGCAAGTACACTAAATATAATTGTCCAGCACTGAGATAAATAGCCCCAGATCACTAATGCCACCATTACCAAATTTTATTTTACAAAATGTCAAGTAAAAAAGATACCGTTAGCTTCAACCTTCTCACTTCTTGTTGTCTGCTTTCCTTGGTATCAATACTTACTGCAGTGGGATGTCGTACATTGTGGTATAAAGTAACCGACTACGTAATCCACGAAACAAGGTGACGTCACATTTTGTGGGCACGCGAATGAGTGATGATTGAAATGGCTTCGGTAAACAAACGTTTCATTCACGAGTGGAATATTAGGCATTTTCAATTTTCTGAATCAATGAATAAAATAAGCAGTGCGTATACAAAATGAAATCATGCATTTAAGATATGAATTTTGCCGCACTTCCCTTATATCCATGAATCAAGGTTACGCGAGTGTATATATACTTCTCATCATTTGGTTGTAGTCACTTTTAGCTTGATAACAGTGTAAGAATCTACATGGAAACGTCGCTCTATACAATTTAAGAAGTTGTCATCCATAAAGTTATATGTTTCATGTTTGACTCACCAACTTCTAGAATGCCGATCAAACAATGTTTTATTTGGATATGACGTGTAACTACTATAACTGTGACACATATATCAGATATGATGATGTTTAGCAATTATTGGTTGTAAAGATGAATAATTGAGAGAGTTGTATATATGTAAACAGGAGTGTAACTGACAAACACATAATGTTAATAAAGTAAACACAATAAATTTAAATTATCTAAAATGAAATGAGATTTATCAAAGTGGTTAAAACAGGCTACCTAAAGAAAAGAGTCAATTAAATCTTTTATGTACTCAATCAATTGCCTTTCAATACAGTATGTGTCAGTTTCTTTAACCTAAATGATGATTTAAACCAATTATTTCACAATATATTTGCAATTCAGTATCACAGAAATAACAATGCATATTTACCAGTTGGCCTCCAGAAATGTAATGTCGTCTGCTCTTTGAATATCAGGTAAAGCTATCAATGATGACAAGTGTGGTATTCAATTTGGAGAAAACAATGCTGTAAAATTCACTGCATCATAGTTGAAAGACAGGGAAATAGATTCTTTCATTTTGTCTGTGTAATTATTTCAACTTTCATCAAAATCTAAATACGAAAACACGGCTAAAAATGGCTGTGTGCTCACTCTTATATTCACAATGTTGGGCCAACGTTGAGCCAACTTTGTGAAATCGATGTAAGACCAGGGAAAATAGGCAGAGTTTTTCAAATGTTGGCCCACTGTTGGACCAACGTGTCCAAAGCCACCGTTACTTTTAAGTCAATAAGGTAACGTTGGGCCAATGTTGTCAAACCATTGGCCAACCAACCAACCATATACCAACATTGGCCCAACACACCTTTGCTATCTAATTTCGCATGGCAGTCGACGATCAGATTCAGATCTCAATCCACGTTGTCATCAGTTGAGAAACGAAATAAATATCAGAACTTTCATTTACATGCAATCACATAGTTTCGTACCCACCTCCCCTCGACGTGACGGGTGACCAGGGCGAGTGACAAGCGCACGTGCACCGATAACAACAGCAACATCTTCAACGAAAGGGCAATCGGGGAATCGTTCATCCGATGGCAGACTCACTACTTTGACACCACATTGTTCCAAGGTCTCGATGTAATTGTTGAACTGTTGTTTCGCTTTTTCGAGCACAACTGCCTGAGAACCATCTAGTCTCAATGCCTCAACAAAGACGTTAGGAATATTACGAACAATAGCTGTCGTAGACCGTAAAGCCATGATACCGGAATACGCTACTCCTTGCATCGAGCTTGTGATGCTTGCGCTGTTAAGAGCGTTCCCGTTTGGCCTGCTTACTATATACAGATGCCCACAGATGCAATAAAACTCGTTATAACTGGTTCAGAGCCTCCTATCTATCTGACTAAAAGTGTTGAATGAGGCTGGATTATTTGAACATGGGCCGGTTTATTGATACTTCACTGATTTTCTCTCCTGAATATTCCCATTTCAGTCTTTGTGACCGTTTAAGTACATAATTATAATAAGCTTCTTTGTTAAAAGAATACTTTTAATCATTAATCGTGAAATAGAAATGTATACACAACTGCAAGAAGAGCATCGTTATATAGTGCAGGTTAATCTAGATCATATTTATTCTTACGAGTACAGTGTGTTTCAAGTTCAGGATTGCAGAGTCACTTCACTCTGGCTTCTGTTTTTAAAAGTAAATATACTGCCAAATATTTGAAGCAGAGACTATTACATGTTTTAACTCAGTTTCAAATTCGCTTGTAAATATGACTTAATATAGTCTTATGTTTTCAATGTTTAGATTCAATTTTCATAGTGATTCTACAAAAGTATAATTTAACTCATCTAGCATTCATTTGATATCTTACGTGAACATTTAATTGTCGTTCTGAAACCCACACAATTATGGGATGATCATGCATTTTTCAATATTGAGCTAGCTTGGTTAAACGTAGATTTGTCTAGTATAGAAACTGCAGAGTATGGGTTCAAATTAAAAAATAACTTTCGCGAATGTTTTGGCCACATGAAAGCGACAAAATTCCACTGTCACTAGATAAATAGATTACATAAAACATTAAATCGACTGAATTTTATTTATTTTTTCTTATAACAATACACGAATAGCTTAATCACCGATTGTTTAAACTTGTTCTCACACCAGAGACCATATAATAGATTATATGGTCTCTGCTCACACTGACTTCCAAGAAGGCGGTAGTTTTAGCAGCTAAAGTTGAGAGTTGCCTCCCCTGGCGTCGTGACAACGAAGAAAACAATATGGCAGCCCCCTTGGATTATTTTGAATGTGGGGGCTAAAATTCTGTGGAGAGGATTATGCATTAAAACAATTACTTTGTTTTGCGTAAGTATGCACATATCAATGCTTATACGTTATATTAACGGTTTTGATGTGGGTCACAATTGGATTTTGCAAACAAAATGTAACGATAGTTGTCAATTTCTCACCCCTCACCATCGTCTGGCATCTGCAACATTAGATATCAATTTTCAGTTTCTATTTAGCCAGTATGCTTTTCGCTACACCACTTTTCTAAGCAAGGGTAAATCCCCCTCATCATAGCTAATCATAAATGAGATATGTCCATGGACACAAGTGAGATGTCCATGGTAAAATGATAAGTGATTATGTGATATCCCAGTGTCAGGTTTTTTTCGACGATGTAAGACGAAAACGTAATTTTTATCTTTAATATCATTTAAAGTTTTTATTTTACTAACATTGAATGATAAAGCATATATTCATCTATTTCACACAAAAATATCAAGTGTTTAGTTCAAAACTAGCGTTGATGACATCGTATCGGCAAAACTGTTGCCGCTCTCCACATCCAGGAATTTTGTATGGGTTTTCGACGATGAGCCATACTTTTTGCTCCACTCTGCGAGGGAGTGTTGTGATCACGTGGCTTCTTATTTATATATTGCCTGTCACTAGCAGACGACTGATCTTACTGAAGTTTTGCTTGCTATTTTTTGTTATAACGGCAACTGATTTTGCATCTGAAGTGGTATTAACGATCTCAGGTAAATAATATTGATGTTTGTTTACTTTTTATATAACTTAACTTCCGGATTTCCATTCTCAATATAACTTCTCATGACAGTGATGGGGAATCCGCCATGCCGATGGAACTGCTTCTGCACTCCGATGGCGAACATACTCCCCCGATATAGCACGAGCAATGCAATCGTCGAAATCACCAGAACATCGAATTCAACTCGTTTTGGGATATGAAATATGAATATATTTCAGCTATGTTTGTGGGTAAACATGATTGATCTCTCCATTAAATCCACTCTCTGTTAGTCAACAGACCCCTATTTTTATAATGTAGAAGTTTTGCACCATTATACCCACGTTTTGTTTGTGAATGGCATTTTCAATATAATTTGCCATCATTATGGCAAATTGTAATGTAATATTGACCCCTCAGTCTACTACATTTAACTGGTCCGTCTGGCATGTTTGTTTAGTGCTACAGTGTTACCATTTGGATTATAGTCAGAATAAGCCCAAAATAAGCAGAATATATACTTTGTGGAGCCTACTTCGTTTACATTTGTATTGCAGGTGTAATCAGTGTTTGAAATAATTAAAAAACCTGACAAGACAGTCTGTCAGGTGACCCGTAAATGTTGCCTTCCCATCTTCAGAGTTACCTGCCCACATTCAGTCATTATACATATTAAATAATGACAACAAAATTATCAATGCATGTTTATGCACAACTGCTTCTGATTTATAACTTTTCTATGACAACTATTTCATAGTTTAATTCCTGTTTAACAATATGTTGGTGAAAGTCTCGAAAACTTAGAGATAACTCATGTTATGTATCAGTTAGAAATAATACAAAACACAACTTGAGAATCTAGGAGGAGTTATAATATAACTGAATACTTAAGTAGTCATAAAATTATAAGACAGGCAGGCAGAGGAAAATTTCATCCAACCCAACAGAATATGACGAAATTACTTAAGAATACAATGTCATCAAACATGTATATTTTGTCATTACCTATGGTATATTTAGTCAGGCAGATCAAAATGACATCATATAAACTTTTTGAAACCATTGCTGAGGAAGAGCTTGTGTACGTCTTACATTCAAATGAGAAGGTGCAACAATCGCCTTGGATCCCCTCCAAGACTGTTAAAAAGCTATCCATTATATTTTTGTTAATTTACTGGACTGGTTTACTACCCTGTCTGAAACAGTCAAGGGAACCCAGATGTGTACATTATCAAGTCTTCAGTGAAACCTGAGACATTTTCTTGGACAATTATTGTGAACATAAAACTACAGTTTTGTTCCATTTATTTCATTTCAGATCTTTTGATGAACTTAGAAGTAAAAATTAAAAAAATTAAAAGAAACCAAACACCAAAATATCGGAACAAAATGTATGCAAATATGAAACCAGACACTGTGAAGGTGCCCTCGCACTTTCCATGTGCAGCCCGAGTCAAGATGCCACAGCTAGGATCAGAAGACTCTGAGATCAAAATAAGGAGACACGCCCCCAGATCTGCCTTGATGATGTACCAATCTACAGACTTGTCTAAAATGCCAATACAAGATTCCTACTTGAAACAAATCAGCACTGGGATTGTCTTTGAGGAAGAAGTCGTCAAGGACAGGTGTTTCCATACACTACCCTATGATTCCAAGTACTTCTGGGAAGTATTGTCCTTAGATGGTCTTGTTCCTCTGCCTCCGAAATCAAGGATTCCAGTTGGTCGACACAATGCACGAGGGCCAGATGTTAGACACATGCCGTGTGGATTTACAAAAATTACCAAAGGTCATCATCTGAAGCCGATGAAGAGGAAGATCATGGAGAAGGCGATGCAGATGCATCAACAAGCTCTGATGGCCGGAAGGATGGAAGAAACCAGATCTGAAGGGGATGGCATGGAGAAGCTGGATGATGAAGATGTTTCACCTGAACGTGCAGTGTTTATGACTGAGGTCTCAGACAAGAAGCCCAAAGCCAAACCTACGCTAAAAGAACCTTCTCAGACAGCTCCAAAGAAGGTAATGTCTGTCACAATAAAGGATGCAGTGCCTAAATCAGCGCCAAGTGTTTCCATCAGTCCGAGTAAGGTAACACTGAGTTCAACTGAAGGACAAGTTGCAAGCAAAAACGACTGGGATTCCTATCTGTTGTCTATATTGAGTCCTTTGACAGCTAATTGGGTGGTGCATGAGAGAATGTCCCCTTCAGATGATCAGGAAAATCTGAGTAAAGTGTTAGCAGGTTGGTATGGGCAGCCTGACCACACTGACCTGGTGAGGGACGATGTGAGCGTTACAGACATGGATGTTACACCCAATAAAGACAAGAAGACAAAGAAGGTTAAGAAGGAAAAAGAACTGACGTAAGTTGGAGTGAGTGAGGTTTGGAGTGAGTGAGTGAGGTTTGGAGTGAGTGAGTGAGGTTTGGAGTGAGTGAGGTTTGGAGTGAGCGAGGGGTAGAGTGAGTACGTAGGCTTTCATACTTCTTGACATTACCATGACATGGTTGTTTATGGCTGTTTATCATGTACATTTTGGGAGAAACTCATATTGACTCATTTTAGTCTCTACTATTTTGAGGGGCGGTGGGGTAGCCTAGTGGTTAAAGCGTCTGCTCGTCACGCTTAAGACCCGGGATCGATTCCCCACATGGGCACAATGTGTGAAGCCCATTTCTGGTGTCCCCCGCCGTGATATTGCTGGAATATTGCTAAAAGCGGCATAAAATTATACTCACTCACTGACTCTATTTTGATGGAGTTGAATCATGGATCATCAATGGGGTGTTGACAAATTGAGGATCATTACTGAAGTGAATCTGGGATTTGAATTCAAAACACGTAGACTGGCAGGGATGGGGGCTCCTTGTCATAGAATATAGATTTAATTTAAAAGTTGAACTTGTTCTGATAAGTACTTTATATTAAAAAAATGTGGTATCATGTTGCACATATAATTTTGAATTTAGAGGAAAGGCTCTTACGAAGAAAACTATTCATAATCAGTAAATTGTAAATTCCATTTGACAATGTTTTTGAACCAAACACATTGCTGCTTACATTCTTATTCATTTTATGATATAGAACAAAGGAAACAGAAACTAAGTAAATTTATTGGACAAATGTATTGCTGTCAAATTTTTAAAAAAAATCCTTTTCAAGATTCTGACAGTTTTACAAAGAAAATTTCTTTTCAAAGTATTAAGGGTTTGGTATTGTGAACATAAATTGTGGAAAATTCCATTCTCACTAAGGACACTTCTCCTGTAGATTCTTTGAGAAGATCAAAGCTGAGGTTCCCAAACGTGCTGTTGATCCATATTCGGATGACAACCAGGCACCATTCTACCGGCAACCTGCAGGTCTGCGGCGCCAGCGGAAGACAGAACAAAAGGAAGAAGCAGGTATGCAATGTAAAGGTTGCTATAGGAACATTAATATTGGCATCACTCTGTATATAATTGTACATATATTATTTAATATCTGATGATACAGCTTCTATTTCCATTTTATAGTCAAGTATTCATGTTTGAAGTCACAATGCTATTTTATTAGGTTTTGAAGTTCAATAATCTGATAAACCATATTTGATGCAACCTCACCAAAATTTTGCAGTGGCAGCTTTGGGTAAGGATTTGTACTACTTACATGTCAACTAATAAATACTTAGTCTGACACAGACAGCTTTAGATATGCTTAACTTGATGCATTGGTTTCTATGTGTAATATTGTTAGGATAGTGTCAGAGTTAACCAGGTGTATTCTAACCACGTATAACTAGTTTTAAGAAATATTTCCTTTTACCCAAGGGTATTCTGTGAACAAACTGATCCCCAGCAGGCTTTGCTTCTTGTACAAGGTGACCCAATGGATAGGCTGGACAGACTTGATGTTGTGTGGTGTATTGCCCCGACATTGTCAGGGTCCAGGTGATGCTGTTGATCACTGGATTGTCTGGTTCAGGTGATGCTGTTGATCACTGGATTGTCTGGTCCAGGTGATGCTGTTGATCACTGGAATGTCTGGTCCAGGTGATGCTGTTGATCACTGGATTGCCTGGTCCAGGTGATGCTGTTGCTCACTGGATTGCCTGGTCCAGGTGATGCTGTTGCTCACTGGATTGCCTGGTCCAGGTGATGCTGTTGATCACTGGATTGCCTGGTCCAGGTGATGCTGTTGATCACTGGATTGCCTGGCACAGGTGATGCTGTTGATCACTGGATTGTCTGGTCCAGGTGATGCTGTTGATCACTGGATTGTCTGGTCCAGGTGATGCTGTTGATCACTGGATTGTCTGATCCAGGTGATGCTGTTGATCACTGGATTGCCTGGTCCAGGTGATGCTGTTGATCACTGGATTGCCTGGTCCAGGTGATGCTGTTGATCACTGGATTGTCTGGTCAAGGTGATGCTGTTGATCACTGGATTGTCTGGTCCAGGTGATGCTGTTGATCACTGGATTGTCTGGTCCAGGTGATGCTGTTGATCACTGGATTGTCTGGTAAAGATTATTACAGACCGCCGTCAAACAGCTGGAATATTGCTGAGTGTGGTGTTAAACAATTAATAAAATGTTCATTTGATGATGGAAGCAATCTCTTTTGTACTTCAGTTAATTTATTTTCACCTAGTAGAAGTATCAACAGTTATTATGTTATAGTGGTGGGAGCTTCTAGTACTAGCTACAGTAGAACTATTTTTATATTCAGTTACTGTAGAATTTACTTGTTTTGTGTGCCTGTCGGAACTAGATTCCTGTAGTCTGAAGTCATGTTTTGTTCATGTGTAGCAGTTTTGTTCAATGTATTAGTTGCAGTAGTGAATAGATTTGCTGGTCGTTATATCCATAGCAATTAGCTACAGGTTTTTTTTATCCTTTCTTTTCTCAAGTACTTGCTGAAAACACAAAAAAAACTTTCTGGATTTATTTGGGATACATGTCATGACTGGACTCCCCATTTGCCTGTTCCTATGGACATATAGACAACCTTTACATCAAAAGTTTCTTTAGGACTTTCTTTTGTATGTCACTATAGCTTGCAATTTCATTGGTTTATTAGACTGGAGGAATGTCAAACTGGCTAATGGTAATCAAGGGCAATAATTTGAACTCATGAGAGCTATGGTAAGTGATTTTGGGGTAGTTGTACCGCAATGTGATTCCTGGAGAAACAGACGATGGGGAGAGACGAATATTGCTTGTTGGATTACAAGATGGCACTTGTTGGGAACAAAACTTGGTCAGCATATAGCCAGTATCCAGTGATTGAGTGGGTTATTAATGTCAAGCTGTATGTAACCTCAGTGAGCTGGTACAATAAAACCAACAGAAGTTTGGACTCATACAAGCAGCCATAAACAAACATTGCTGTATGATAATTTGCAATCATCTTGAACATGGCTTTAAACACCACATTGCATGTCTATAAATTTGTGTGTGGTGGTAACAAAGCAGGTCAGGCCTCAGGGTGCATGTTTGTACCTGGGTTGGTGTTCATGTTATCAGCCTCTGGTTTGCCGGAGAGAGATGTCAGTTTTTTCAGGCCAGCATGTGTGGGTATGATAATGAAAGTGAGGTGAAATAACATTCCTCATATACAGGAATTATGGAAGCACTTGTTTCATAGCAAGTTCTTCAACAGCTTCTCAAAATGACAAAAGTCCCACAATCTGGCACATGAATGTACAATGACGTGTAGGAGGATTATCTGGGGTGGAAAATGCCACTAGCCCAGTTGTCCAAGACAGTTCTTATATCAAAAGCATCTGAAGGCAGATTGGATATCAGGATTGTTCAATATGTACCTAAAAGAACAAGCTAAAAATTAATCCAACTCCAAACCTTAATGATTTTGGCAGATATAGATCACCTCAGCCCAGAAATGAATAATGTTTGGACTTTGTTATAATTCTTTTTGAGATTTTGAAGATATACATCTATGAATAAGGTATCAGTAACTTACTGTTTGTGTAAGGTGAGTACTTACATATAGTATATCAATTTTGGTTTAATTTCTACCACCAATATTATAATAGTATAATACTTTATTATCTCAAAGAGAAATTTGTTTTTTGTCACAGGCTAGGCAACACATAAATTAGATTGGTAAAATACACATTGTAGATCACATTGACACAAATTGCACAACATCTTTAATTATGATGTGATCCTTTATTTGGTACATCAGTCAATAAACAATTTTGCTAAAAAACAAGAACCATGGAAGTTTTAATTAAATTTTATTTAAAAAATGGGAACATAGAGACGTTTGGGTGTGGTTGTTACAGGAGCAATCAACAGCACTGCACATGGGATCGAAGTGAAGTCATACCAGCCGTCACCGCCGCCCACCTTACGAGACTTCATCAATCCTGCAGTCGGAGACAAGATGTTTGAAACGGACAACATGTACCAGCAGGAATGGCTGACAGGTGAGTGTGGTTTGTCAGCTCTGTAAAGTGAACTACAGCACTTAAAGGGTGTCCTTAGTGAGAAGTGTACATGAAAATTAACACTTTTGTCTTGCACTTTTCATCCTAAAAAGTGTTTATCAAGTAGTTTTATATCCAAACCTGTACATATATCAGAAGTAACTAATTTATTTTTTTTTTCAACATTTACCGAAAGTTCTATGTCCACAATAAACACACCATGGCTTATGTCCCTTGAAAAGGACATTGGTGCCCAAACGATAAACGAATGATGTTGTTAGACCTTATTAGACCCATTTCACGTGGTGCAGGTATAGGTGTGGTTCTTGTGTCTCAATGCACAGGCTACTGTTTTAATCCGCCTGTTGCTTGGCCCGTCAGCTGACTATGTGGTCAGTTCTACACTGTAATGACGTTGCAGTTTGAAAAAACGTATACATTGTACTAAAAGTGTTACCATGTAACCAAATTGTATAACATATTCAACCTGAGTCGGTCGCCTTTCCAACAGTATCTTTTTTCACAAAACCTAAAACATATATGCACTACATCTAGCTTGCCATCGGTGAATGTGCTGGCATTCTACGTTTGTTACTAAAATTCTTACATAAATCGTACGATATGTCACTCCTCTTCCACCTTCACTTTGATATCGATAGTACATATCCAAATACATCGCGCAGATAAATGCAATTTGCAGTTTTGAACTCTGTTTTTAATTCGTTTTTCCATGATATCATCTGCTCATTGTAGATCAAACATACTGAAAATTACATGCATCGTAAATCTCGCCAGTTTTGACACATTACTAAATCACTATTCACTGCGTTTTGCGTAATTTATAGTATGTCTTAATTCAAATGTCAAATTTTACTGGGAGAATTGAATTTAAAAGAAAAAGACGTGATCATTGTGATCAGTGGTAGTTTTGTTGTTGTATGATCGAATCACTCATGCTCGTTCTGAAACATTGTCGATGAACCAGGATTCGCTGAGAACGTTTTTGAAAATACGCAATTACAATTAACGTAAAAGTGAATTTTCAGATCATATTACAGAGTGTTTATAAAATCACGTCACTTGTATGTCGGTTATATTTCACCCATAAAATCAGTTGTATAATTCAACACCATCTTCCTTACACAAATCCCTGAATTTCTCATACAGTTCAAAATAAACTGACAAATGGAGTTTGTCACTAATTCGAAGTGTTTCAGTGAAATCGAACGAAATATATCAGATGCCGCTCTGGGAAAGGACCACTTGTTTGAAATGTAAACAAAGCCAATCTCAGATTTTACACTGTGTATCCGTTCGCCTACTTGTTGCATACACTTGCTCATTAGTTTTAGAACATGCATGGTAAAGGTATCGTAGCAAGCGATAGTTAAATAAAATAGGTGTATTCCAATGATTTTCTAGATTCATTACAACATATTATAGTTTCTGAAAGCATGACGCCATGACTGATGCAAACTCACACACAATGATGACGGTAATCTGTCATACAGACCCTGAAGTAAATACATCCAAGAAAGCCCACACAAGTCTAGAAAATGTGTCTGAAAATGAAAAAAGTCTCAGGGCTCCTTTTCATTATGTGTTATTTTTTTCACTTTGAGCTTTTTTTCCCTGTAAAATATGTTCATTTCAGAGACTAGTTGTTAGTCTACGATGATGGTACTTCTCTTCATTTCTGACTATGTCACTTACATGTCACATTTATGCATGTACGTTGCTTGAAACAACAAAAAATTCCCTCGAAAACTCTGGCGTACTCGTGTCAGTGAATACGCCATTTTGAAGAAGTCGCTTCCCTATAGTGATGTCAACATTGTTATACATATTTGGTATTTTCATTGAGGTGAGGTTCTGAATGAAAATACACATCCGTCCTGCTGCTTACATTTTCTGTTCTTATGCTTCTTCGTATTTTCACAAACTTTTTTTCACATGATTAATTTCAGTATTATTATCTTTTGATTTGGGACTAGACAGGAGACCAGTTTAAAATCAAGTGGCGCCAATTATGTCATAATCAAAGGGCGGTAACTCTGGCCTGTTTAGCTCGGCAAACAAAGGCCTCATATTGGCATAACATTTCTGCACTTATTTTGAGGGTTATACTTACATTGTAAGAAAAATGAGGTGTATATTTTCAAACATTGGTATTAACTAATTAAAACAGTTCACTTTGATTCACATAAGAATAAGTGTGATTTATTCTTGTACACTTCCCCTGTAAGACTACAGCATTGCGTCACTTCTATATTGTGAACAGAACATTTCTTGTTATATTTTCTGATTTAACGTGGCATCAGCAAGCAGGCATATTGTGACTTCTCACTCTTTAGGTTCCAAGAATTAACAGAAGTTTACAGATTATATAAATCTGATCTCGCACTTTACATGTGCCTCTGACAGCATCTAAAACAAGATGGCTGTAAGTATAATGTGATGATGTGTATGGTTTTGTGATTGTTGTTTTCAGGAGCCCAACAGGTGTACTGCCAATCTGACCAGGACAAGATTGTCATGGAGAATGACAACAAGTACAAGAAGCGCCTACAGAAGGAATATCCTCACTCTACGGAATGCTGGTTCACTGAGTCGGAGTCCGAGGTCAAGGTCACACAAGATCCAGACAAGGGCAAGATTAACAAAGGCCTTCGACGATGGAAGGAGCTCCCAGAGCCTGTGGATGTGAGTGTTTGTGTTTTCAGATTGTTGACCAGTGTGACAGTTGGAGCAGTTTTAAAATTTAATGAGGGTAGTAAACCTGGAAATTTACTTCAGATTTACTCATTAAAGTTTGTTTGATTCAATAAAATGTGTGTAGTGATGTCAGTCCTATAGAAAATGTTCATTCTTTATACAGAGGTCAAGGTCAAGATCAAGGTTAGCCATGGGTGATGGTAATGTTTTTCATTGATTTGTTTGTAGACTTCCAATATTGACTTAGATTTTTCATTCTGTTTCTCCTAGGACACTGTTGAGGTCCTGAACATTGTCCCCCCAGGCTATGACCCAGAGTTCCACCGGTCACCTGACCCCACCACAAGGAGGATCACCAAACTGAATGCTTCCCTCATGCAGATCAGTAAGTCCTGATAGGTTTCAGCCAATCTGACTGACTTAATTTCTTTACAACAACCTTCCCAGACACACTCATTTTTGACTGGGATAAAATGGTATTTCACTTAAAGCATTCACTATTGTGTCATTTGTATTACATTAAAAAACTATACATTATTATTACTATTTTTAATACTGTTTATCCAAATTAGGTAATACTCAGGGTGTCCATATTATCTGCATGATAAACAAGTACTTATTTTCAATCTGATTCTGAATATGATCTTATTTTCTTTTCTCCAGTTGAAGAGTGGCGGTCAAAGTGGCACCTGAGTGGTCAGTTTGCGGACAGCAGTCCAATGGACCTGATCCGGGATATGGCGGACATTCAGCCCCACGTGAGGCTGAAGGCTGTGTCTACAGTAGCGAAAGCAGCGGAGTATAAACCCCCGGAGGAGGCAGGCATACAACTAGAGTATCAGGACAAGCAGGCTACCACGGCCACCCATCTCCCGGATGAGATCTTCGTTGCACTCAACTACCTCCTGGAAGATGAGCATGACCGTGTACAGAAAGCTGCAGCCATTACACTGTATTCCTTGAATCATCCATCGGACAAGGTGAGATGGAGAGATCCTGGAGATGTGGCGTCTGTGCATGTCATGGGGCCATATTTATGTTATAGTGACTAATTCAGGACAGCCATCGTTCAAATATTTAAAAAGTCCAAAACTATGTTGTCAAGACATGTGAGACTTTATTGTAATATATATATGGCGCTAACCTGTAATCTTAATCACTACTGTACATCCTTATCACTACCGCATTGTACATTGACTTGTAAGCCCATTAATTATTGTATAAGACATTTATAACCTTCATCTGTAATCCCCCTTGGCCGTGTCTGCCATCACATCAACTGGTCAAGGTAGTGCTATTGTTTTTCTTTCTGTCCATTGATGAGTCATCGCCTGTCCATTGTTGTCAAAAACTGTATATATATACTTAGTATGCTCACATCTAGACAGTGAAAGAGTACGAGTCCGGGTATTCGGACTGTCTGTAGGGACGACCACGAGCAGGAGAATGCCGCTCGTAGGAAACGCCCTGGGGTTGAGCAGGTACTCCGCTCACCTCACTTATGTCTTGTGTATTTGTTTGACATGTAACTAAAGAAGTTTGAACTCAACGTATTCCTTCGTCTTGTCAACGTATTGTACGTACACTTCATCTTAAAACATGAGCTAATTCCCCAGTCGACGCATATACCACGCGTTGACATTTATATCACTTCTCAGAAGTTTGGCTTCATGTTGTTGATAAGCTGCAAATGTCGTCAAAATCCTTTAAATCCAGGATTTTCTGCTTCTGCTTCATTAAGTACGAAAGTTGGGGTCATGATGACAGACTCGCCAGAGCCACTGGTTTGAAGAAACCTTAAAAACAATAGGAAGATGTCAGGAAAGGTGTATAAGTTAGTTACACCTTGCCTCTATGGTTTCAGCATTGTCGATAATCTACAGGTTATATGTTAAGTTCTGACAAATCCCTCTCCACTTCAGTATTAGTGGAGATTTATCGAAACATATACCCTGGAGATTATCGAGGATGTGGTTTCAGTTGAAAACGTAAAACTTCAACTTCAGTTAAGTGACCTTCGGCTTTTTCCTCAAGTCAGTGTTTTATATTTACAACCTAAACTTCAGTGTCATGTTATAAACAATGCTAATCTCTTCTTAAAAAGGTGATAATTCTTGTCATATTTGCCACAAGTAGTTGAAGAACTGGGGTGTAGTTTTGTCTGACTGTTTTGTGTAAAATGCTCACTGTTCTAGTATGAGTGTTCTAATATTTAGGATAACAACAGTCACTGATTTAATCATGAATAATGTTTCATGAGAGGATTTTCAAGGTTAAGGATTTGAATGTTTGTGCTGATTTGGACATGTGATGTTTGTAAACCAGGCCGAGTGCATTCTGCGGGACACCCTCCAGGGGGAGAACGGTGTTGACCGCTGGGCAGCCGCTCAGTGTCTGGCCCACTTCGGTGTGTGTGACTCGGACGTGGTAGGGGAGATAATCAAGCAGCTCCTAGACACCGAGGACTCCATCAAACACGAACAGGCCATCATGCTTCTTTCCAAGATCAGCTACAACTCGGTGAGATTTGATAACTGTAATACACATCCTGGTTATCTCACTGTTCTGAACAAATCTAAGGATCCATCTTTTGGGGGTTTGTTTAAGAAGGGAATAAAACAAGACAAAAGTTCGTCTCTTATTTCCATAAAACTTTTTTCAGAAAATTTATCACTTTTTGTGTCTGGTGTATCTTAAGATCTTCATTTCTTTATATGTATTTTGATAATATATTTTATCTCTAAAAACTTTGAGTTAATGGTCTGTGTTTTTGTTAGATTTATAACACTAAAGTAACATTGAGCTGTGGTTGTCATGACAACCATTGTGATGTTGTTAGACTCTGGTTCATTCCCTGGTGGCGGAACAACTCAACAGCACCAGCTGGAGACACAAGGTCATTGCCTGCAAGATCCTCCCGACGCTTCACGGAACCATCAACAGGGTGAGGATCATCACGTAACAACAGTAATTCTTTAGTAGGAATATATACACAGTGGTGCAGCCAGCTGAACGGAACATTTCAAACCTCATACTGTGTGTTTGGCTCCAAATTCAATTTGACATTGTTAAATCTACAAGAGACAAAATCACTTCCTGGACTCATGTTCTATACGCACATGAAGTTAGATTGGACACCGTGGTGCTGTTAAATCTACAGGTAACAGAATCATTTCACAGACATATCCATCCTATACACATATGAAGTTAGCCTAATGGTTAAAGCGCTAAATCTACAGGTCGACACATCCATCCTATACACACTGAAGACCCGGGTTCGAATCCCCACATGGGCACAATGTGTGAAGCCCATTTCTGGTGTCCCCCGCCATCGTAAAACCAAACTCAGTCAGTCAGTCAAGTTAGATTGGACACCCGTGGTGCTGTTAAATCTACAGGTAACAGAATCCAGTCACAGACACATCCATCCTATACACACATGAAGTTAGATTGCACACCGTGGTGCTGTTAAATCTACAGGTAACAGAATCCTGTCACAGACACATCCATCCTATACACACATGAAGTTAGATTGGACACCGTGGTGCTGTTAAATCTACAGGTAACAGAATCCTGTCACAGACACATCCATCCTATACACACATGAAGTTAGATTGGACACCGTGGTGCTGTTAAATCTACAGGTAACAGAATCCTGTCACAGACACATCCATCCAATACACACATGAAGTTAGATTGGACACCGTGGTGCTGTTAAATTTACAGGTAACAGAATCCTGTCACAGACACATCCATCCTATACACACATGAAGTTAGATTAGACACCGTGGTGCTGTTAAATCTACAGGTAACAGAATCCTGTCACAGACACATCCATCCTATACACACATGAAGTTAGATTGGACACCGTGGTGCTGTTAAATCTACAGGTAACAGAATCCTGTCACAGACACATCCATCCTATACACACATGCAGTTAGATTGGACACCGTGGTGCTGTTAAATCTACAGGTAACAGAATCCTGTCACAGACACATCCATCCTATACACACATGCAGTTAGATTGGACACCATGGTGCGTGGTGCTGTTAAATCTACAGGTTAAATCTACAGGTAACAGAATCCTGTCACAGACACATCCATCCTATACACACATGCAGTTAGATTGGACACCGTGGTGCTGTTAAATCTACAGGTAACAGAATTATATCGCAGACACATCCATCCTATACACACATGAAATAACACTTGAAATCCTATTTCCATTGCAGGTACTGTTGACTTAACATAAGTATGCTGTTTGGATGTATTGAATTTAGTAATTGTTACATATCACATACATTTCTACACTGGTAAGGTATGACTTTTTGCTCGTGGTGCTTCTTCAATCTGTCATTCCCATCTCTAAATGGCAAATGGGTTTTAAGCTTCTGAGCTTGTGCTATAAAGTAACAGTTACGGTCTTGGAAATCAAGTGAAACATGGCACATATTCCCTTAGGTCACCAGAATGTATCACTGAGTACAGATCCAATTACAGTGATGCATTTCTAAGTGTGTACACAGATATGCATGTATTCAGTGTTGCTGTTCTGTAGGTACAAGAATTGTGTTCAAGTTCAAGAGCTCAAATACTCATCAAGGGGAGATAACTCCTTGTCACCAATCCTCTCACACGTTTCAGACAGAAGTGAAACCATAAAGTATCTTGAGTATTTTTATCTTTGATGATGTGGAGACAAAAGGAGGGGATTTTAAGTCACAGGTATTCAAATATTTTTGCTTCACTTCAGAGACCTTGCTCTGATGAAATCAAATTTAACATGGAAAATGATATAGAGACCTGTTATCACAAGTAACCATGGCAACAGGGTCAATTGATGTAAATATATTGGTCTATGACTTCAGGACATCACCAACAAGCTGTCCGAGCTGATGTGGAGTGATTGGCACAATGACGTGAGGAAGGCCGCAGCCCATTGTCTGGGGAAAACCCAGCATGGTCGTAGATGTCCATGATGATCTCAAGGACAGGATTGCCTCCTCTAATGAAAGAGTCCGACTTGAGGCTGTCAGTAGGATTGGACAGTTGGGTGAGTAATGTACACTGTCTACTTGTGTTGACACTTGTGTTTTATTTGTGTTAAATTTGTGCTTACTTGGACATAAACTGTACAAGTAATGTTTTAAGCCATTAATAATTGACAACTCAAGATATATATTTAGGTTTGTGAAAATTCAGCCAAAAAGTAAAACATTTGGAATTTCTATTTGGGGGGATATCGGATGTTGAGAAATAATTGACAGAAGATCAGGACATCTATTCACGATGCTCTCTTGACTGATTAAATTGTTGTAAAGGTAAAACAATCCCAATCATGGCTGTTCTTGAATCTATCTTAAGTTTATGACAAAAACATGTTTTTATGTTCACCAATGAATGTTCTTTTAATGTCAAGGGCAGTTTATTTATGTAGAGAGTGAGTAGAATTTCAATGAGATTTTAGTAATGGTATTATATATTCAATGTTTTTATTTAATCAAGGGTCCATCCATCCATTCAGTTCTTACATACATGAAACTCAATCTAGAGAAGTCCTTGAACTGATAATGTCCTTGGAATAAAACTACCGGTACTGAATAGGATTAATTAGATCTTGTCACAGTTGGCACGCTCTTTGTATGTTTTGGTTATTGGAATATTTTATTGGAATGTTTTGTGTCATTTTCAGGGATAATGACTGCCAAACTTCTGCCAGTGTTTCTTGAGTGTTTTGATGACCCCTATGTGTCGATTCGTGTGGAGACCTGTATCACAAGTGGTAACCTGGAAATAAAGGATGATCGCGTACTTGAGAAGCTGGTGTACCTTGCCACGTATGACCCCATCTGGAAGGTCAAGGCTCTTGCCATTCAAGGTCAGTGTTAATGTACTTCTAACGAAAGACAGTTTGTAGGTCAAAATTAGATGTTCTACTAGAAACAATTGGTTCAGTAAACACTTCGGGTAAATTAGTAAGAGGATTACAGAAAAATCTATTGATGTCAACAGTTTAATGGAACATACCCCGGTACTTGATAAGGGAAACTGTTTATACTGAAATGATGATTTGTGCATATGTTATTTACATGTTGCAATACTTTGCCATGTTCTGTATGGTAGTTTTCAGGAGATTAGTACATTATATTACTGTCCCCACCAGCCCTGAGGTGTATTGGTAGAGCTATAGTGTGTCTGTCCCCACCAGCCCTGGGGTGTATTGGTAGAGCTATAGTGTGTCTGTCCCCACTAGCCCTGGGGTGTATTGGTAGAGCTATAGTGTGTCTGTCCCCACCAGCCCTGGGGTGTATTGGTAGAGCTATAGTGTGTCTGTCCCCACCAGCCCTGGGGTGTATTGGTAGATCTATAGTGTGTCTGTCCCCACCTAGCCCTGGGGTGTGTATTGGTAGAGCTATATTGTGTCTGTCCCCACCAGCCCTGGGGTGTATTGGTAGAGCTATAGTGGGTCTGTCCCCAGTGTGTCTGTCCCCACTAGCCCTGGGGTGTATTGGTAGATCTATAGTGTGTCTGTCCCTACCAGCCCTGGGGTGTATTGGTAGAGCTATAGTGTGACTGTCCCCACCAGCCCTGGGGTGTATTGGTAGATCTATAGTCTGTCTGTTCCTACCAGCCCTGAGGTGTATTGGTAGATCTATAGTGTGTCTGTCCCCACCAGCCCTGGGGTGTATTGGTAGATCTATAGTGTGACTGTCCCTACCAGCCCTGGGGTGTATTGGTAGAGCTATAGTGTGTCTGTCCCCACCAGCCCTGGGGTGGGTGTATTGGTAGAGCTATACCAGCCCTGGGGTGTGTGTCTGTCCCCACCAGCCCTGGGGTGTATTGGTAGAGCTATAGATCTAGTGTGTCTGTCTATAGTGTGTCTGTCCCACCAGCCCTGGGGTGTATTGGTAGAGCTATAGTGTGTCTGTCCCCGGCAGACCTGGGGTGTATTGGTAGATCTATAGTGTGTCTGTCCCCACCAGCCCTGGGGTGTATTGGTAGATCTATAGTGTGTCTGTCCCTACCAGCCCTGGGGTGTATTGGTAGAGCTATAGTGTGTCTGTCCCCACCAGCCCCCTACCAGCCCTGGGGTGTATTGGTAGAGCTATAGTGTGTCTGTCCCACCAGCCCTGGGGTGTATTGGTAGATCTATAGTGTGTCTGTTCCTACCAGCCCTGGGGTGTATAGTGGTAGATCTATATTGGTAGTGTCTGTCTGTTACCAGCCCTGGGGTATTGTATATAGTGTGTCTGACCAGCCCTATATTGGTAGTGTAGTGTGTCTGTCCCTACCAGCCCTGGGGTGTATTGGTAGTGTGTCCTGTCCCCTCTATAGCGTGTCTGTCCCCCACTAACCCTGGCTATAGTGTGTATTGGTAGATCTATATTGTGTCTGTCCCTCACCAGCCCTGGGGTGTATTGGTAGATCTATAGTGTGTCTGTCCCTACCAGCCCTGGGGTGTAGCTATGGTAGACCAGCCCTACCTAGTGTGTCTGTCCCTACCAGCCCTGGGGTGTATTGGTAGAGCTATAGTGTGTCTGTCCCCGGCAGACCTGGGGTGTATTGGTAGATCTATAGTGTGTCTGTCCCCACCAGCCCTGGGGTGTATTGGTAGATCTATAGTGTGTCTGTCCCTACCAGCCCTGGGGTGTATTGGTAGATCTATAGTGTGTCTGTCCCTACCAGCCCTGGGGTGTATTGGTAGATCTATAGTGTGTCTGTCCCCACTAGCCCTGGGGTGTATCGGCAGGATCAACGACGACATCAAGGAGTGTCTGATGTGGGCGCTGCGGTACGAGGAACAGGAGGGGGTGAGGGCAGAGGCGTGTCACTCGCTGGTTATCCTGGGGCAGAAGGATGAGGTGTTTGTGGAGGTGCTCCAAGACAGATTGCTGGTGGAGACGTCACAGATTGTCAGAGAGTAAGACCTTGTCTTTTCTTCTCTACTGTTTATCATTTGTTGCTGATTTTGACTCTTAACTTTAAAATGGAAGAAAAGACAGGTGTCATACAATGTTGTTTAATATTATTTAAAACATATACATACTTAGTTCCAAAAGAAACGCGCCATTCGGGTTTGTTTTTGAAATTTCCATAACTGTCGTATCTTTGAAACCAATTTTGAAAATTAAACTTCTGAAACAAGACTTTTAACGTAAGATTAGCCGTAACAACTGAATCTAATTATTGAACATTTTTATGAGAAAAAACAACAGAAACGCATCACATAAACGCATGCCCTGATGCGTTGTGCACGTGAATTTAATGATACGACACTTTCTTCAAGAAAAACGAGAGAAAGAACCCTTTAAAAGATGCGATGGCAGTTTCTGTTGTGTTCTTTTTCTGAATGGTTCAGACGTTCAACGTTGCACAACATATTATGGGAGTACATCGGACGACAATTTACCGACTGATTGAACGCCAAAATCAAACAAATTCGGTGAGAGATCGACCTAGATATGGCAGGCCATGAGTGACGTCACACAGGCAAGATCGTTACATCCTAACGTCTCATCCTTGCAACCGTTTTATTCCAGCTACTGTTACAGCCCATCAGACAATAGGGATTCACAACAGACCAATTTCAGGAAACACTGTGCGTTGACGTTTGAGAGCACACTGGCTACACTGTAGGAGACCCTATGTAGGACCGATTTTGACACCACGGCACCATCGTCTGGGCTCGCCAACATCAGCACTGGAGATATGCACAGTGGCAGAACGTTGCTTTCTCAGACGAGAGTCGTTTCTGTGTCCATGTTGCAGATGGGAGAGTGAGAGTATGGCGTCGACGAAATGAACGTTTCAGAGACCCATGTGTTCTGGAAAGTGACCGCTAGGGTGGGTCATCCCTTTTGATGTGGGGTGGAATAAGCAGGGGAAGGCCCCACCTGTAATCTTCCAACACAATGGTCAAGGTCGTGGAAGGGGTGTAACTGCACGACGCTACACCGCCATTATCACAGGACAATTCCTGGCCAATCACAACATCGAGACAATGGTTTGGCCACCTCTTAGTACTGATTTGAATCCAGTGGAACATCTCTGGGACGAGTTGGGCCGACGCCTTCGTCCAGGACCAGTTCCTCCACAAAATCAGCGGCAGTTGGAGAATGCAGTGTTGAATGAGTACAATGACATTCCCCGCGCTTTCATTCGACGTTTGTTCATGTCCATGGGAAAACGGTTTACTCACATGATAAACAATAATGGTGGTCATACCAGGTACTGATAACATCGAATATCAGCTTAAGTTTCTAAACGTGTCTAATGCAGACTCTTCAGGTTGGACACAGTAAAAAGATCTTAAATCCACTGTCGTTGCTGTTGTCTTTTATCTTTCTTTGGTGCGTTCTGCATACAGCATATAGTGGCAAGAAGCACGTTTGTGGGATAACAGTTCTTATTTCAAATGGACATGTCGTGTTTCTTTTGGAACTAAGTATATGTGTAGATTTGCAATTTTTGATTAGCATTGTCTTCTGTAAACAAAAGTAACATTTTGCTCATAAGTAATTCATAACTGATCAGTCTCGGACTGTAATATTTGACAAATGGTAAGATTGGTGCTGCTGGACAATGACAAACAGTTTTTGATAAATATTGGAACAGTTAAATTGTTTATACTTCCTCTAGGTGTGGCTGGCTCTCCATACATATGTGTTTTCTTTTATAGAAGTATTGTACAAATACTCTGCATTGTAATGTAGAAAGTGGCATGTGTCACCTTTGTGAGGTTATGTCCATTATTAGTTAAAGTTCCAGATCAGAGTTGTCTTTTGCTTGTCCATAAAATTTTCCAGATGCATAAATGAAACATATTGTATGCTTCAATGAGGAGTTCTGGGACTTATCGTACCCGTGACGGTCCGAGTAAAAATGAACCTTCAGTAACCCATGCTTGTAAGAGGCGACTAACGGGATCGGGTGGTCAGGCTTGCTGGCTTGGTTGACACATGTCATCGGTTCCCATTTGCGCAGATCGATGCTCATGCTGTTGATCACTGGATTGTCTGGTCTAGACTCCATTATTTACAGACTGCCGCCATATAGCTGGAATATTGCTGAGTGCGGCGTAAAACTAAACTCACTTATTCACACTCTGGGACTTATCCAGACTTGCTCAGGCCTATAGTCAACCCTAATTCTGCAGCAAATGTCAGCAAAAGTTCTCAAGCTGGAATAAAACATTTCCCGATTGTGGCGATATTATATTGACAAATGTTATGACTTTGTGGAGGAGATTTATACTTCCTGACCAGTTTGATCAAAACAATTATTTCCTACCAAATTGAAAACCAAGGGTGCTTTGTTTGTATTCTCCGCACACATACGCACTCACATACCACCCTGTCCTATATTTGCATCTGCACATATATAACCAATCCCTCACATTGACCTTGACCTTGCAGGGAGATCGTGGAGGCGCTGCGTCGTATGGGAGTCAGCACAACGGAGGACATGGACATGGTCACGCAGATCAAGGGAGAGGTCCGCAAACTCTGCAACCGCGATGTCATTGCCTCCCACATCATGGTCAACGAAATGGACGAGGATCGCCAGAGAGAACCTCAAACGCATGATATACGAGACAGACAAGGAACTTGAGGTAAGCATTGATCCAAATGCTGGGGCTTCAGGTCAGAATACGTCCCAGCTTCTTACACTACGCATGAGAGCAGATTGATATATGTCACAGATGTCATCTGAAGACAGTGATCATTGCTCATGCTGCATAAAACAACACTCACTCACTTTCATGTTTTCACTCACACCGTTAATATATCTTCTCTGCTGATACTCTCCAACACCCTTTCTTCCCACAACTCACGCCATCTCTCCAACACCCTTTCTTCCCACAACTCATGCCATCATTTTCCCCTTACTTGTAAGTTAACCATTCTCAGCCTTCGAAATTCATGCGAGTCTGCTAGACCATAATGAAGTAAAAGTCATGTTTGACTTATAGCAGAGATTTCTAAACCAGTTCTCAATGATTCATTTTGCTACAAATTTGAACTGAATAATACTGACAGACAATGTAAACATTGCAAACATTTTTGTCCTGTTCTACCAGGACTTGATCGAAATTCTAAACTACTGACATGTCTCCAATCTCTTGGCTGTTATTAAAAAAGACTTTCAAAGAATTTCTAAGGCTGTATTCTGTATTGGATCATGTATGAAATCTCATCATAAAGGTTCATCCCAATGTCGCCACTGGCCCTGTGCTTGATTAACTTTGAACATTTAACAACATTTGTCTGGGCAATTAAAATCATGGATATTCATCATAATCCTGTGCCCAAAATACTAACCCAGATTGGCTTTAAGAGGACTGTAAATACTCTCCTCCCCCTGCATAATTCATTTTATAAAAATACATGTCATGTAAACCATGTCATGTCTCTCTCTCTCCTCTCCCCCCATTCCGTGGTGTATCTATTCTATAACCATTAAACAGCATTGTTGTTCTATTTTATATGATAGTCCCCTCTGATAAAATTTTGCAACCCCTCTCTTTTTCTGTGTCATTTAAAGTCTTGTCCCTAAATTACAGGATCTTACTTTAATCGTTGACTGGGGCAGGCATTAGATGATGGAGATGTGACAGTTTTTAGCATAGATTCTGTCATGTTTTCATACCATTTTCATCTCTGTCATATCTAACTGGTGTCTTCATCTCCACTCTTTCCTCTCTATCTTCATCCCTCTGCCTTGTGTGTGTCACCTCTAGCGGTACTTCCACCATCGTAACCGATTCCTCCACCTAGTCAGCAGGTCTGACTTTGACACCAGGCTTCAGCTGCTGCGCAGCTCTGTCACTATTGAGAAGCTTCACCAGGTAGAGGTCAAGGACAACAATCATGATGTATCATTAAATCCATCATCACAAGAAAATGGTAGCAGAGTCAGTCAAATCATGGAAACAAAGGCCTAAATCATTTATGATTTACTTAAATACCATGTTGACCAAAAACAAGATGGATTTACAGTGTTTGATGGTCTCTGTCTGTAAAATATATCGCATCGTAAAATAGGAATACAATAAAAAAGAATTAAAATCATATATAAAGTTAACAATAAAAATATTAATCCTATTTTATCCATACCAAACATGTAACATTCTTAATAGATTTTATCAAAAGACTTTATGTCCTGAAATCATATGTTATGAAGAATGTTTCATCATATATTCTGAGTGTCATTATTTTTACACATTTTACCCCAGCTAACTGAACCTTCCCTCTCGTACAGGAGCACCAGGCTATGAAGGAGAAAGCTATGAAGCACATCCAGTCCTTGAGTCGGATGAGCAGCGGTGGAACCCAGCCTCACACCAACACTGGCTCCAGAACATCCTCAGCTGCTGTGAGTCGAGAAGGAACGATGTTCACTCCCTCAGCAGACAAAGAACTAGAGGCCCTCATGTCACCAGAAGATACCAAAGAGGATCTGAGTGAATCAGTCACTACCAAGTCCAGAGTGGACACAGTGACAGCCACCTCGATCTCTAGACCTGGTACATCCGGAACCCAGACAGACAGCCAACTGTCCGAGGGTGGTGGGGAGAGTTACCAAAGCACCTTGGTTAAGTCCAGGACAGAGGACAGTGATGGGGACTACCTGAGTGGTGAGACTCCAGGCAGTGCCCAGGTGGATGGTCTTTTGAATAGGAGCGATCATGTGGAGAGTGCTCATTCTGGGTCTATTGGTTTGAATCTTGCTATGACTTCTCCTAAAGGTTTGGCAGCTTCTTCTCTTGATATCCGAGCATCACGACTGAGTTTTATTGGTACTTCCACTGAGAGGAAAGCTCAGCTGTCAAGTAGAGACACTAACAATGAAAGGCAAAAGGTCAGTGCAGAAGCATTGAGTACTTATAAGGGTTTGGAGAATAGGTATTCCAACTTTAATGCAGATTTGATGGCCATTGATAGAGGATTGAATACAGCAGGGGGCAATGAGAAAGAATCAGAATTTCCGCTCAATCAGCAACATGAAAAGGTTGTTGCATCAGTCGTGATTTCATCCCCAGACAGTGAATCAGCAATGATAGAAGTGTGTGCAGAAGAACAGGAGGTAAAGGATGGCTCTGTGACTCCAGTTAAGAACCAAGAGCCAGAGTCTGGAGATGCTGCAGTGGTGATATTGGTTTCCAGGGCATCTGAGGAAAATCTATATCCTGGAACTAAAGATGAAGCTGCTGGATCATCAGATTTAGTTTCAGATCCCACAGATTCTGTTCAGGCTGAGGTTACAGCACCAGATGAAGCAGACATTGTTGCAAGAGGGATGAGGACAGGGGAATCATCTGAACAATCAGCTGCGCAGACTGGTCCAGAACAGGATACTACTGGTGGTGATCCCAAGCATGTTGAAGGTTCTCTTGCAGATGGATCTCCAACAGAAAGTTCTCAAGTAGCAGGACATCCTGAAGCAAGTTCTCCACCTGAAGGTTCTCCTGCACAGGCATCAGTGGAGATTGTAGTAACCTCTTCTTCCCCTCACGATCAGACTCAACAGTAGGGTCTGTGTTCATATCTAAGTAGTGCTGTGATACTATATCTTCTGTTGTGTAGCTAGTACCACTGATTGTAATTTCTGTAAATATCATTTTTGAAGCAAACCTTTTAGAAACTGTATTTCCAACATAATTATATTGTACTGTCAGTGATGGATAGTTGTGCATTTGTTAATGAAACTATTGCAAATGTGTGGAATAATTCAGCTGTGTATCTTACACACATTGTCAGCAGCTGAATAAATGTGTCTATCAAAGATGTAACAATTTACGGTAACAGACTTAAAGTGTTATTATCTATTTTCTGTAAAATACAGATATTCATGAGGCAGTGTTTTTACTGAGTGAATGCTTATAATGTTGGCTTCTTTTTTTATCAGTATAATTATTGATCACCCTGCCAAAACCAATTTCATTTCTACATTGTGTCATCTTCCAGTGATATGCCTCCAGTCTGCCTTTTTTGTACAGCTGTGTTAACCACAAAAGTGTCCTATATTGTTTCCCCGAGTTGATCTGTGATATTGCTAATGTTAGCATTTTTGTTAATATAACAATCTTGAACCCTTGTCGTTCTTGTTGTTCCTGTTGTAAATCCACCAACACCTGCATACACAAGATTCAGTCTGGACTATACCAATTCTACCATGAATCAGTCAGGAACAAATAACCACCTTTGATTAAAACAGCTGGAAGTTGGACACTAACAGTTATTGAAAAGAACTTCATCAAACCAGCCAACCAATCATTCTCAAGAATATAGTAGATATATCTGAATAATTATTTATGAAATTATGGGTTACAAATTCTTGTTTTATTCTTCGTACAATATTTGAGGGATGTGCATCAAATATTTGGCAGAAAACAGGATACAAATCGACTTGAACGTGTATTTCAACAATGAGGACAACAGAGAGGTTCGAGATTTGATGCTGTGTAGATGACTGATGTCATACGTCTTTCTTAACACTGACGGGTGTGACGTCATGAATCTTACTGGCTAATTTATTTTATAATTATGGTTGACACAACTGCACATTACCAATATCTACAACCAGCGAAATGGATGAACATGCGTTTTGTCCGCTATTAGTGGTGATTAAGATGGAATTCATCTTGGTGAGCCAACAGTTGCAACATGTTGACGGTGGCACTTACTGATTTTATTGCGCTTCACGATGTGTAGTGTAGGGGCAGAGCACTCGTGCTGCCTTAGTATGCTATAATGAGAGAGTTCCATCCCTTAGACCTGTGAATATTTGTGCTTCAGTTTGCTCGATGTTTTCAACTGAGTGCACATGTCGGGAATCTTTAGACGCTACTTTCATGTTGCGCTAATGGAATTTTATGTCGGAAATATCGGCTTCGAAATTATAACTTTTGTCAGTTGTGATTTCTTTTAGCAGGCTCAAGTTAAGCTCATATATGTGATATCTAACATGACAAAGTTTGAGATTTACGTGAAATGAGTTAGAAGTTAGAAATAGAATGTCTCTTCCACTCTTTTTATTTGTATTGGAAAGATACAAATTTACCACTACATTTCACAGCAAACGCATCTAGTTGCAAACAATTGGCATACTGTTAATGGACACATGTACTATACTTCACAGGGCGGTGGCCCCGTGGATGCAGCGTTCGCTCCTGGCGTGTAGCCCCGGGTTCGTTTACGACCTATGTACAATGTGTAAAGCCATTTACTGACGTCCTCCGCTGTGATATTTCTTGAATATCGTAAAAAACGGCTTAAAATCCAAATTCTTCTCTCACTTTATGTCAAAGAAACCCATGAATTTCTTATTAATGGTGTACTATTTCCTGGACGAGGAATTTTGTTTCAGTAAAGAAACTATAGAGACAATTTCTCACAGTTCAAAACATTTTTGTTCAATGAGAAAAAATGCATATAGACATGGAATATTTGTAGTAGGTATATATTATGTACAGTAAGCTACGTTTATAACGAGCACGCTTAATACGATGGATGTAACGAACTGCTATTTTTGTCCCCACCATTTCCTGTATATTGCAGCTAAACTGCGTACAACGAACTACGGCTATTACGAACTAAACTTCGTGGTCCTTAGAGTTCCTTATATCTGTGGTTTGTTTACTGTGTTGCAGAAACCTATGACAGGGCGCTGGTTTCTACAGGACGCGTTGATATATGAACAACGTTCCACGTCATCGGTTACGATGACACATAGACAGCCAATCCACAGAGTTTGTCCTCCCAATCTCCATTGTATTTTATATGTTTCTTGTTTAACACCGCACTCGGCAATGTTCCAGCTATATGGCGTCGGTCTGTAAATAATCGAGTCTGGACCAGACAACCCAGTGATCAACAGCATGAGCATCGTTCTACGCAATTGGGTTACGATGACATGTGTCAACCAAGTCAGCGAGCCTGACCACCCGATCCCGTACGTGGCCAATTACGACAAGAATGGGTTGCTGAAGACCAATTCCAACCCGGATCTTCACGGGTGATCACGATTGTAAGAGATACACGACTTACGTACAGGAGGCCATTTTTTAGCCGAAATCCCTTCACAGAATAATACACAATTTTACACTATTCAGGAGGTGAATACCTGTTTTTATTTATACATAAAAAACAATGATGACAGATCCTCCAGCATTGAATGTTTCAGATGCGAGCATGCAGCTTTAACATTCATAAAACAATTGTGATTGCATACATGCATCAACAAAATATATGATTAGACAAACAAAAAATCCTTTACACTGGAGCCCAAACAGGTGGATAGAAACTATTTATTAAGTACAGATATCGGCTTGTGTGTGGAGAGGGTTACGGCACGACCGTTAGAGCGGTCTGAGCCGGGCGATGGCGCCATGATAAAGCGGCCATCCCAGCGCCGGGCAGTTTACTGGAGGGTTAAAACAGTTATTGGAGTTTAACAGACCCGTTTATACCGTCACACACTGTTGTGGGTCTACTGACTCACTCCAAGACTCAACACGGTTCCACTGATTCAACGCCTCCGACATTCCACAGACACGATCGTAACAGTTTTCTGAACTTAATATGAAATTGTGAGTCATTCAAATTCTTGACATTTAGCAGAAAGGATTCCTTGGTGCTATCGTTTTGTTTGATATGAAATAGATACCAGTATGAATAGAACTTCCAAGAGGTTCTAGCAAAATGCAGGTTTTGGTATGAATAATCAATATAACTATACACTTTACAAATCGGGTTACCAACCCTGCTTTATAAAACTGATGTAAAATATTGAAGTCGCTCTGAATGATCTCAGTAAATCCATCCGTAGTTTTTCACGCGTTCTCATCTCTAACTCAACCAGCAAGAGAGCATTCAGGCGAAAAAATATTTAAAAAATGATAAAAAAATAAATTTAAAATTGTTTTATATTAATTGTGCAAGATACTTTTATGAAATTATAAATTTAGATCACTTTGTAATAGTCTCCAAATGCATTTATAATATAGATCAAATCGCCTTGCTTCTGAAACAAATTGTAAATACGACAGTTGCGGATACGGCTTTTGGAGAAAGACCACCTCCGTGGTGTAGTGGTTAGAGCGTCCGCCTGGAGAGTGGAAGGTCGCGGGTTCAATCCCCGACCGCGTCATACCAAAATACGTTAAAATATGGTACTTGTTGGTCCCTGCCTGGCGCTCGGCATTAATGGGTACAACAAGGACTGGTCGGCTCGGAGTCAGTATAATGTGTCTGAGTGGGGTATTCATGCTTCACTGCGGCATGGTATCTCAGTGGGCTAGCACTATAAAACCAGCTTCAGTCCGGGCTAGTACAAGCAGCCGCACATACACATACACACGCATGCACGTCGTCATATGAGCGAAATATTCTCAAGCACGACGTTAAACCCAATTTCACCTCACCTCACCTTTTGGAGAAAGGGGAGGTGCACACTCTTGAGAAAAGGAGGGGTGCACATTTCATTTTCACCCGTTTTCATGGGTCATTTAATAAACTTTCAGGACAAAAGGCGGGTTGTGCACCCATGCACACACGCGCGCACGCACAAACACACACACACACACACACCTCCTCTGGATCCGCCTGTGATATATTACGATGAAGAAAATTCAAGCTGACCTGATCAAGCTGCCCTTGACATGTAGAAACTTTGTTTATTTCACGTAATGAAAGATCAGATGGGAAACTCTAGACAGAGATGTTTCTTATCCCACAAAAAATGAATGATTTCGGAAACTTTCGGAAAAGTTGTTTTCTTTGAATAAGTCGTTTTATAGAAGAACGAGTCTCCTTGTTGTGGGTAAATTAGGTTTAGCGTTGTCCTCAATTATTTTGCATTTCCATCACGGCGTTTCGGTCAAAAAATAAATTGTCGCCTGTCAGAGATGTTTACTACGCTTGTTAGTCACGGTAAAATCAATAGGAGCTGTATGTGTGGATTGTAACTTTGGTCAAATCGCTGTAGAAACATACAACCAGGTCGCTTTGACAAAATGTTAAAAATTCACTTTTAGTTTTATAGAACACCTATATATATTTCGAATGCATCAATACTGGGCGTGATTTCAAAACTCCGAGGGTAATTATTATGTCAAAATTAACATTATAACATTATATATACATGTTAATTTTGACACAAATGGTATTTTGTGGATAATCCATTAGTAATGACACAACACGAATTTCCCTTCTACACCATTGCAACTATATCATCAGGGAGAGATTCCAGTTACAGATTACACAGTGACCTTACTTTCTAACCACGAAACTTTATAATACTCTTCATAATTATTAAATCTGTACACTGCCACCCCGAACCTTATACATGTACAACTGTACACTGATGACCTTCACCTTGTTGTTTATATGCATACATACGCAAACCCTTGTAATTAGCTTTCTGTGCCCTGAACCTTGCTTTATTCAGGTCTTTAGCATTGCAGGAAGGGCTGGGCGGAAGGGAAAATAATGAGGTTCAGGGACTGCGAGACAGTCTAGCGGAGTCCCAACCTACCGTGCCATTCGTAACTACTCGTTTCATTCCGGAACGCCTACCGTGCATTACGAAATTAGAGTAAACTCACAATACCAAAAATGTGGATTTCTTTTTCAGACCCTATATATGCTGAAACAACAACCTCCCTCCCCCACCCTCCACTCCCCTCCCCATCACACACACACGTTGACCAGATAATGAAGATAGAAAGCCACACCCGCTCATTCCTTTCAGTCCAAGAACCCGATCGACAACAATTCAATAAAAGTATGCACTATCTTGAGCAACAATCGAACAACAGAAAGCCGTTACCAAAGGTTTCATATTGTAGAAAATTGTAAAAACCATTTGTTCAGCATATCCTTTTTCTCTTAAACAAGTTTGATAAGGAAACAAATCCTTCCTGTCACATGACGTATGCATATATTGCTTCATGTAATCTAGCCATGGAAATGCCACAACTCTTTACTCGCTCCATCAAACACAACAAATGTATATTCGCCTCCACAGATGTTCTTTGAGTGTTGCCGTGCAGGGTCCAATCAGCAGATTGATCTGACCAAAACTCAAGATCAGAA